CTTTCCCAAACTTGAAGAAAGCAAACACTGGCAGGGTTCTGAACTCTGGGCAAGAGCAGTCAGTAGCTGGAGCTGCATACTTCTCTGCTCAGCTGGTAGAGGACACAGAATTTGTGACCCCAGTTTCAGAACTAGCACAAAAATAATTAACTAACACTAAACTTACTGCATCTGTTTTTGAAAAACACTGGGTTTAGAAGCTTGCTGATAAGGAAATTTTTTGCATATGAACTCAAAGAATAGAAATCTAAATCTCTGTTACTTTCAACTTCAGTTTAAAAATATGTTTCCAGTCTTCAAAGCTTACATTATCTTCCAAACCACAAACCAACATGATGCTGCCTTCTGGATTTTGTAGACAATTTCAGTGTCAGAATCACAGAATGGTTTGGGTTGGAAGGGACCTTAAAGATCATCCAGTTACAACCCCCCTGCCATGGGCAGGGACACCTTCCACTAGACCAGGTTGCTCCAAGCCTCATCCAGCCTGGCCTTGGACACTTCCAGGGGGATGGGGCATCCACAGCTTCTCTGGGCAACCTGTTCCAGTGCCTCACCACCCTCTCCGGGAAGAATTTCTTCCTGATATCCCATCTAAACCTCCCCGCTTTCAATTTAAACCAGTGTCTTCCAGTGTTGCATTTTTCCATGACTCGAGTGGGTTTCTACCTCGGCAACTTAGCTTGGACCAGGAGGATGCTCTGGAAGCAAATCTCCCAATCATTCATTCTTCCTGTGCTTTGGTCTGCACAGTAGAGCAGAGTGGATTTATTTTGGATAAGACTACAGTATAAGAGGTACAAGGAGCACTACCGGACTAGTCTGAATATAAACCACGAAAACTGTACAGATGTTTGGTCACAAGCACCAATACTGCCCTTCACACTGCTGTTTACTATGCTGTTTTCTACCATATCTCATGACTGTTATTCCAAAATTTGTGGCCAACCTGAATCCTGAGAAGGCATGTATGGCTGTACCTAAACTTGCCATTTAAAACCGGACTGGCTCAAGCACTGTATGAAATACCTACAAACAAACTGATGAATATTTATAAGAGACCCATTCTAGCTGTAACGGAGACACGAGATGCTCTGCAGCAGCTGTCCTGGGCTAACACTCTGTTCCACTTACTGTGAGAAAACGGTTAGTGTTATTCTGCTGATAATTAGGACAGCAATGAGGAGCGGGGGAGATGAACTGTGAAGGGTGACTGGTAATGATTTCCCACACTACAACACACAGATTCCCTGAGTGCATCCCAGGACACCATCATATTTGTCTAGGTAGCGATTTTAACATCCAGGGAAGAAAAATAAAGACAACTACAAACCCAATTTCTCCATTTTAAAAAGAAGGGTAGAAATATAAACCTCTGTAGCAACCTCAAACCTATGCAGATCTTTCTCACAGTCAGAGATCTGTGCTAGTAGCTTCAGGTTTAGAAATACACTTCAAGCTACTATGGAAGAAGCAGCACTTCACAGAGCTGTAGTGTGTTATTTGGCCAGCATCATATAAATAGTGGAAAGGAGGGACCAGAAATAAGACTTTTACTAAGGTGAGACAGATGTTTGCCTCACTTTATATTAGCCTCTAGACAGCAGCAACAGCATTAGACTCCAGTGAGTCTTTTTGCCCCAAAACAGACACTTCTCAAAGTTCCATGTCTATTCGGGATCGAATTAATATTAATGAAAAGAAGAACTTATTTCTATACTTCTCAACTGTCTGAAACTTCAATTGTACCACAAACCTCTCTTCCACTCCTCATTACCTTCCAATATTAGCCGTCTTCATGAGTTATCTCTGAAAATAGCAACACCTAAAATATAGGCGTGGCAACCACATGAAGCATTCTTCTGCTCTGTAATTTACTTTCCTCAGCAGTATTTTACCTTCTTTTACTGTGCTGCAATATATATATTATATTCAGAGGCTGAGAAGACAGCTAAGCACTTCAGACTCTGCTGTTGGGAAATACGAAGAATAAAAATACACAAGAAAATCAGCTGTTGCATCCAGGTACAACCAGTGGCAATTTCTACATAGTTACCTTTAAAAGCACTTCAACCTGTTAGCCTCAAATAACCACCAGAAAATGCCGACTAATATTAGTTGTGGTTTTACTTGGCAAGCATTCACCCCCTGAAACCAAAACTTTTTAAATGCTGTTGCAGCACTTCAGACAAATTTACCTCTGAAACCTGACCTACAGTAATTGCACATGCAGTCACGTTAATCATATTAATATTTTAAGTTAATTAACTACAACAGACAGGAGGAATGAAAAGTAGAACAGAAGTCTATTTCTTCAGAATATAATAATTTCCATGGGAAGTAATCACAGTGAGCTCAACTTCCTTCTAGTACACTATGAAACAGACATGCTAAAGGACATTTTAAACTCCTCTTTTGAAACAGTGTGAAAAATGTTTGTAGAACAGGTGCTCGCAAATTGCTATTTATTTCCTATATTTAACCTGGGAGTGCTTCCCAGCTGTGTTGGAACTACTTTTCTGTGTAACTGTTGCAGTCTACACCACTCTTACAACTCTAACAGTAAGTTCTCACAGGGTTTTTGCTAGCTTGGTTGTTTTAGGGGTCAGCTGGTTTGGGATTTTTCTGGCTGTTATCAGAGTTATCAGTGTGGTTTGTTTTGTTTTGTTTTAAATTGGCTTTCCTGCATGGACTTTAAACATCTCGAATCCTGTGTTCAGTTTTGGGCCCCTCACTACAAGACAGACACTGAGGGGCTGGAGCGTGTCCAGAGAAGGGAACGGAGCTGGGGAAGGGTCTGGAGCACAAGTCCTGTGAGGAGTGGCTGCGGGAGCTGGGGGTGTTCAGCCTGGAGAAGAGGAGGCTGAGGGGAGACCTTATCGCCCCCTACAACTACCTGACAGGAGATTGTAGGGAGGTGGGTGTCAGTGTCTTCTTCCAAGTAACAAGCGATAACACAAGAGGAAATGGCATGAAGTTGCTCCAGGAGACGTTTAGGTTGAGGTTAAACAGTTGGACTTGATGATCTTCAAGGCCTTTTGCAACCTAAACTATTTTATGATCACATGAAAGTTGAAATTACAGATTTTGTTAATTATAAACAGTAATCTGTGACTTTTTCCTCAGCAGCACAGAAATATTAAGACACTTTTCTCATTAAATAATAGTTTTCTAATGTAGGCCAAAGATTCTACCTGCCTAATGAGATAGCAAAAAAAAAAAAGATTTCCAAAATGCACTTAAAGAATGTTTCCTACCACAAGGAAAAGAATTTATTTCAAGCAAGTTTCTGAAATGAAGGAATTTGCTCAGTTAAAACACATTCCAAAGTTTAATCCAGACTGCAAGAGAAAAATAATCTGTCAAAAAGCACTTCTGGGGTTAAATTTTTCAATCACTTTTTCTTGTTTAAATGTTAACTGCTGGGTAGAAGAGGTTACAGGGCTCTTGTCTCTCATCCCTGATCAAAGTTGTCATGCTGTCCTAGTAAAGAAATTTTAAATTTTGTAGCAAGTGCACTTTCCTTTCAGGAAAGTTATTAAAAAAAAAAAAAAGGAAAAAAAAAAGCACGCAATAGCCTCATCAGCTTTATCCAATAAACTTAAAGTTGATATAATTGAACTCATCATCTTGATAAACATCTGGGCATTCACCTTAACCTTCTGAGAAGCCTGGTGAATGGAAAAAGTGGGACACAAATTAAGGTGACCTAGAAATCTCCAGGACTGTTCCCAGGAATTTTCCTAGGAAACTAGGACTTCTACTTCTGGTCCAATGACAGCAAATCATCTCATCTGCCCTTTAATTTTACCACAGGGTCACCTTCCATCTCTCTTGTAACTACTGCTTACACACAGCTACAATTACCTCTATTTTATCTGGAGAAATCCAGTCAGTTGTTCACGATTGAATAATTTCTATAACAATGCTTACCCTGATCTCTGATCGATCAGTCCCTCAAGATTTTGCTCATTTACACTGATTAGAAAGGTCAGATTCTGTAAACAAATTAAGTATGTGCAAGTCATAAGATCTGGGATACTTGATAAAAATTACAGCTTCAGTGTTAATTTGTTTCAGACACCTCAGTTTCCATATTAAACACAAAAGGAGCCAAGTGCCCTGAAAAAGACACATGCTTTGTTTCTCTTTTGCAATGGAACCGTAATATATAGCACCGTCTGGTACCTTGTGGAATAACTGGATTATTTTAAGTTTAATTCAATTTGAACATAAAGACTTACTCTGCCCACAGGGCTCATCGGATGAGCAGCATAATCTGATGACAGATTATAGTTAGTTGCTTCACATAGCATGCTTACTGGTCGCTCCTTCTTTTCTTCAGATGTCATTGCTGCAGCAGTCCTGGAAACAGAATACGTAATAGCACGAGAACATGCTGTGTGTGCAGAGTGCTATTAAAAAGCACCCCTAGATGTAGCCTACCAAATACAGCCTGTGTCCTACTTTTCCAATATGAAATCAATTCACACTTCAGTGTAAAGTTACTTGCACTGTGCTTTAAACTTAAATCTAAACTTAAATCTATTATAGATGAATTTTAAGATGTTCTAAAATAGGATTTCCCTATTAGCTTAAGATATTGGTGGGAGGGAAAAAGCTAGGTATGAACGTGAGATGGGCATGGGAAGAAAGGCTCTCCAAAAACCCCATGTGGCTTTGTCCCATTTCAGCGAGAACATGCACGTTTGTGCAATTTCACATATTGCAGTCCTGACAGTTTTCACTCCAGCCACTGTATAATGTGTTGCAGCAATGGTGGTGAGCAGGACACCCAAGATCCCCAACCACATACAAAATCTTGAGGTCAAGTATGACTTTGTCATACTTTCGTGTATTCTACAGAACTAATGCAAAGATAGCAAAACCAAGCTGTTACCCAGTGATTCAGAAAAAACATCTCAACTGCCCGAGAAAATAACCAATTGAGGAGAAACCACCAGGCAAAACATGACTGATTAAAGGCATGTGATTGTCCCTAACTGCTTAAAAACTTATTCCTTTTTGGAAGTTTATTGGATTAGTATATAATATATAGGTTACTTGCTAACACTACAGAATAAACAGACAAGTGGAAATTCACACAGTGCATAAGCGCTATGCATTTCTATCATATAACTAATCTGGGCTATGGTTTTTATCTTAAAAATTAGTATTTAATATTACTTTCAAATAATTTAAGCAAATTAAACACTAAATATGCATTTCTGACGTGGAAAAAATAAATTAAATATTGCAATCAGCAAACACCGAATCTTACTTGGATATTAACAAGTTTTAAAACATGTATTTTACAGACTGAAACAGATGTCACTTACTGTTCATTCACAACAAAAATACAGTTGTCCTGTGATGGCTGTCCTGTCACTGGATGTTTGCAGGTTACTTTTCGTTCATTATGACTGCGGAAGAGAGATAAGGAAAATATTAGGCAATAAATCTTTATTTTTTTTCTAACAAGTATATGAATCCAGTATATCAAGTATATCAGCCAAGTGAAAATGACTATCAATATTTCTTTATGACATATATATACACACACACACATATACAAGCTAACAAAAGGAACATGAGTATTAAAGAATTTTGAGTACTCTGGAAATAGAAAACATTTGGACTGGGTTGGTAATGGTTTTGCGTTTAAAAACTAGAGCAGCAAGAGTGTTACTGGTTCAAATATGATCACTGATAACTGACTGTAACGTGTTTAGATTGAAAACTGATAGATTTAGATTAGATATCAGGAAGAAGTTCTTCCCGGAGAGGGTGGTGAGGCACTGGGACAGGTTGCCCAGAGAAGCTGTGGATGCCCCATCCCTGGAAGTGTCCAAGGCCAGGCTGGATGAGGCTGGGAGCAACCTGGTCTAGTGGAAGGTGTCCCTGCCCATGGCAGGGGGGGTGTAACTGGATGATCTTTAAGGTCCCTTCCCGTCCAAACCATTCTGTGTTTCTATGATTTAAATATTTAAGTCTTTATTTATCATAAACCAGCTTCCACTCACACCTGGGAGCATGGAGCTGCCAGCTGGCACAGCAGCAAGACTATGCAACTATGAGAAGCGAGGGTGGCTGAACTGCAATCACTCCCTCTGAACCCTCTGGCCCCAAAATGTAGGAAGAAAGTGGGAAAGGTGCACTGGCAAAATTTAAACCTGGTTCGGCAATTAAAAAAACAACCATACAAGCAAAAATCAGACTAAGAAAAGGCAATGAATATGTAATGCAAATGTGTTATTTGGATATAACCAAAATGCTTCAAAACAAACTCATCTTTTCCATTTATAACACTTCAAATAATACTTATAACAGCAACAACAACGAAAAACGCAAATCATGAAGGAAGTACTTCCATTTGACAGTATTTACTTTTGCACACAATATGTGAGGACACCCTTTTTTGTGTAAGGTATCGTATGTAACACTATGCCTTCCTTATCACAAGTTCAGCCCTGGAAAATATTCTTGGGCAGAAAACAAACCTGGACGAAAAAAATGTGCTTTAGTTGCAAGACAACAGAAGAGGTGCAGAACAAAAGCTTTGAAAGGTACTTTATCCTTAACACCTACTTCTTTTACTGCCTATTCATTTAACCTTTTTAACTTTCCAAGCTATGAAGCAAAGCTCACACTGCAAGCGTTAACGCTCTCTACCCTTCCTGGCTTCCCAAAACAACCTAGACTTAACAGGACTATCTTAACATTCCCCAGGTTTCTTGAAAATTCCTGTGGATCAATAGCATTTTGCAATTATGGAGCATTACTAATTAAAAGTTGTCTCCAAACACAAGCCTAATAAAATATTCACATTACTTTCACGGTCAGTGGATAGTTGGATAAATTTGCACAAACCTAAAGCTTAAGATTAGAAAGATAGCCCAATTCTCTGAATTTACTGGGATTTTAACCACCTCCTAATACCTAAATGGACAGATGTGTTATGGAGCTTAACAAACAAGAGCAAATGCTGCTACTTTATCTTTATGCTAAATTCAGCGGAATTCTAAGTTTAGCTTCAAAAGACGTTTCTGTCGCAGCTACGCATCCATTACAATGAGGGGACAGAGAAGAGATGACCCGAGTAGTCTGTGTCATCCCCATTTGCCATGGTCCTACAATGCCTTTCAAGTTACAACAGCCAAGACTGAAGAGAATTAAAATTCAAAACATTCCTGAGGAAGCATCCTTTTATTTTCTTTCCCCAAGCCCCCCAACCCCCACCCAGCCCTTGGTGATTCCTCCTCTTCATTTCCAAATATTTTTTTTTTCTTTTCTCTCTGACATTTGAGAAACTCACACCAAACTGAAAAATAAAAAAATTATGGAGATGAGCTGGCACTCCTCAAGCTTTGCCAAAATGTTGCCTTCTTGTTCGTGTTAAACCTTGACAGCTGGCTATCAGCTGACATCTAGAAATGCAGAAATAAATGGATCAGGACTTCTGCTCAAGGACCCTTAATGCTGAGGACCTCTACAGAGGAGGCAAATCCCGTGTTTTCTGTAAGTGCATCCAGCTCACATGGACACAGAAGAGGCAACACTCAGATCGTAAAGGGGAGGTCATACAAAACCAGGAGGGAAAGCTGGAAGGGGGAGAAGAAACAGAGGGGAGAGGAAGCACTGACACAAACCTATTCAAGGATACTCAAGAGTTATGTATCAAGTCAATATTCCGCAAAAAATCCACATGTTTTTGGACAAAACATTTCTCCTTACTACTCACACTGACTTTGAGATGCACAGGGATGTAGCTGAGATTACATGAAAAAGGCAAAAAAAAGCATCACAGACACCTGTGGAACATACAATACTTCCTTTCTAGCATTTGAGAGACAGTGATAGCCACTTCCTTCTAAAAAGGCAATGCAAATCTTTTTTGCCTAAAAAGGCAGCAATCTTTTCTTTCTCTACACCTTAGATGCAAGTGAACTCTCATGAGTGAACACTGGAAATTCAGCTTGTATAACCAAGAGGTGATGACTGTAAATATGTATAACTGGATGAATAGATTCACACTACTTCCATTTGAAAGCTTTTCCATTACTCATCTGAATTATTGGCATTTTTGGCATTAATTTAGCTGGTATTTTGACAAGACTCCTCAACATAGTACGTAAGGTGTAGAGGAGTTTGGTAATTGTCATAACCCTCCCACGTAACAGTAGGTTAAGACATTTGTTTTAAACTCGATCCTGCAGACTACAGAGTTACATTAAAACCAAGCTACCATTTGATATTCACAACCTTCAACACCTAGGCAGTTGTTCGGTGACCCATGAATTTTTGGGTCCACATGCATGCTTATTATTTCATATATTACACTACATTACTACATATCTCATCAATAAACCTCAAGGAAATTCAGCAATTTTTTTTTTTTTTTTTTTAAACAGAGAACTCTAATTTCACTCTTCTACAAACCCCAGTATGTAATTCCAAGTTTCAACCCCTCATACTTATGTGCCTGTGCTTTCATTATGTGGTAAAGAGTGATTCAGAACACAGGCAGCCAGAAGCCAGTGTGTTAACTTTTTGCTTATGCAGAGACACAGCCTCCAAGAGGTATATGGGAAGAACACTCCTCTCCCTTCTCTCTCCAATCAATTTTTCAATTAACATATTTTGAGAACACATGGTAATTATTCACGCACACTGCTACACTTACACTGAAGGATCCTTACTATTTGGGCATAGTGGTAGGTGATCCTTACTATTTGGGCATCCATAGTTAGGCTGTATTAAATGGCAAGCCAAAGAGGGAAAAATCCCCTGTGTATTTTATAGTATTCATAAGCATACTATCCAAATTCAGTATTCCTCATTAATATTTGCTACTGGAATGTGTTGGGCTCCAGAAATCAGCACAGCTGACCAAGATGACATGACAGATAAGATGATTATTTCAATGCAAAATAAAATGTAGTTCTTACATGTATCAAAATTTTGTTCTTAAATCTTATAGTGATCTGGGACAATGACCTGCTATAGAAAGATCAAAACCAAACCAAACCAACAATTAAAAAAAAAAATCAAAACCAAACACACAGAGAAACCCCCACACCACACAAACCCCTAATCACACCAGAATAGCTCAAGCAGGGACAAGTTCCATTTTTATCTATCTCAGGGCAAGACAACAGATACCAGATCAACAGCACCAACCTAACGACCTCTCTTCTCCAGAAGGTTTCAACATCTCCCTCCCAATCCTTTCGTCTGAGCACTGCAAGCCGTGGCATCATTTAGCAGGTAGCTTGGCTTTGGTGCATGGAGGAGCCCTCAGAGCAAAAGGATTTACCTTGCTCAGGGTAGAAGTTGACAGCAACCTTGAATTTGACTCACATTATTTGCCTTATCTACTCTCTTTCTCTTTTTCCTCCTTTGAGGCCCTTAATCTCTTTAGAAGACAGGATTATTTGACTCTTTTCACCAATTCTAGATATCTCCAAAAAACCTTGTTGTGTAGTTTGAGTCTACTCACTAAATGTACAATAAACAGCAATCTTTGTGATGGCCAAATGCGATCCAAGGACTACAAAAAAAAGCCCTCAAACATATCATTCAAATGTATTTTTCTATTTGTAAGCAGCAAAAGAATACATAATTCTAGGAGCAGCACTTGCCAACATAAGTTCTACACAAACACAATTGTTTGTTTTCATTCTACCTTGTGTTTTTTCAGGACTGATGACCCAAAAATATTGCAAACCAATATTTTGCTCTAACACACAGCACCACCAAATAAAAAAATTCAAAATTCTGTCCAGTTTTGCCATTTTGAAATTGCTATAGTCTGTAACAGTACCAGGATTTTTTGGTTAGGGAAAACACACCAATAATAAGAGATGAAATGGAAAAGAGAGAGATATATAATTCAGTTGTACAGGAGGATGCACACAATTAAAAATGAATGGTTAGACCATCTTTCCTCTGGAACAGAGTAGTTCAGTCAGAAGTGGCAAGAAGGATCAAAGCACTAGGGCGGGGACAGTTGGTTTGGGGTCTCTCCATTGTATGATTTGGATGAGTTCCCTGCCCTCTCAACAAAACAGAGCTGGGCCAGAACTCCCAAAGGCACATCTGTTTTTCTCTCACTAAAATTAAAACTAGATGCCACTTCAAAGCTTCTCTCATGCCCTTTCTTTGTAGACTTTATTTATGTGTTCCTAAATGCTAAGGCCTTCTCATTTGCTCATTCTCAACGTGACCATCAAAGCAAAGGCCGAGTTCTACTTTGCTGAAAGAATACAAACACAATCATAAACCAGGACACAACTTTCAACAAGCCTCCACATCTTTAATTTAGGAAGACTGTTCCCTTGCACAAGTGAACGCAGAAGAACACGTTTCAGAAGAATGCTACACCAAGTAATCGCCCCCTAATGTTTATTGTACATC